ATGATCTTTACAATTTGGTATGTTTTTGCAGTGGCTGGTACCGGTTGTTCCTTTCCATGTTTAGTGCTTCCTTCAGGAGCTCTTGTAAGGCAGGCCTGGTGGTGACAAAATCTCTCAGCATTTGCTTGTCTGTAAAGGATTTTATTTCTCCTTCACTTATGAAGCTAGTTTGGCTGGATATGAAATTCTAGTTTGAAAAATATTTCTTTCAGAATGTTGAATATTGGTCATGACTGTCTTCTGGCTTGTAGAGTTTCTGCTGAGATATCCGCTGTTAGTCTGATGCGCTTCCCTTTGTTGGTAACCTAGCCTTTCTCTCTGGCTGCCCTTAACCTTGGTGATTCTGACAATTATGTGTCTTGGGGTTGCTCTTCTCGAGGACTATGTTTGTAGTGTTCTCTGTATTTCCTGAATTTGAATGTTTCTTTTTTCTCTTTTTGTCTCTAATCTTGTCTTCTCGCTTTAATTAATTTGACATTCAATCACTGATATCCTTTCTTCCACTTGATTGACTATTGAAGCTTGTGTATCCTTCATGAAGTTCTCGTACTGTGGTTTTCAGCTCCATCAGGTCATTTAAGCTCTTCTCTACACTCTTTATTCTAGTTAGCCATTTGTCTAACCTTTTTTCAAGGTTTTTAGCTTCCTTGCGATGGGTTAGAACGTGCTCTTTTAGCTCGGAGAAGTTTGTTATTATTGACCTTCTGAAGCCTGCTTCTATCAACTTGCCAAACTCATTCTCCATATAGTTTTGTTCCCTTGCTGGCGAGGACTTGTATTCCTTTGGAGGAGAAGAGACTTTCTGGTTTTTGGAAGTTTCAGCTTCTTTCTTTTTCTCTCTGCTTTGGTTTCTCCCTTCTTTGTGGTTTTATCTACCTGTGGTCATTGATGTTGGTGACCTATGGATGGGGTTTTGGTGTGGTTGTCCTTTGCTATTCTGAGGTTGATACGGTCCTTTGCTGATGTTGATGCTATTAGTCTCTGTTTGTTAGTTTTCCTTCTAACAGACAGGCCCCTCAGCTGCAGGTCTTTTGGAGTTTGCTGGAGGTCCATTGCAGACCCTGTTTGCCTGGGTATCACTAGCAGCGGCTGCAGAACAGCAAATATTGTTGCCTGATCTTTCTTCTGGAAGCTTGGTCCCAGAGGGGCACCCACCTGTAGGAGGTGTCTGTTGACCCCTACTGGGAGGTGTCTCCCAGTCAGGCTACACGGGGGTCAGGGACCCACTTGAGGAGGCAATCTGTCCATTATCAGAGCTCAAATGCCGTGCTGGGAGAACCACTGGTCTCTTCTGAGCTGTCAGGCAGGGATGTTGAAGTCTGCAGAAGCTGTCTGCTTCTTTTTGTTCAGGTATGCCCTGCCCCCTGAAGTGGAATCTAGAGAGGCATTAGGCCTTGCTGAGTTGAGGTGGCCTCCGCCCAGTTCGAGCTTCCCCTGGCTTTGCTTACACTGTGAGCACAGAACCGCCTACTCAAGCCTCAGTAATGGCGATCGTCCCTCCCTTCTCAAGCTCCAGCTCCACCTCCAGCGGAGGCTGCTCCGGAATATGAATGCCCAGACTGGGATACAGGGGGTGCCTTGGAACTGAGATGCATGGCGCGGGGTGTCGGCGGTGTGTGAGGCACCGGGCTGGGGTGCACCGCGGGGAGGAACACGCTGGGTCTGGGATGCTCCCGGATGGGTGGTCCCAGAGACGTAGGCAGCATCTTACCTTAAAACTCGCGGGTGAGCTCCACGCTGGGCTTGGCCACGGGCTCCTGCTGTTGAGGCTGCTGCAGAGGAGCCGCCGCCATCCCTGCCGCCGGGGAGCCGGGACACATGCTAGACTACGCTTTGGTAGAGGCAATGAGCGCTGCAGTAGTGGCAGAGCCCGCTCCCGTCAGGGGCGGCTGCATCAGAGCTTCTCTCCCGCGTCCCGGAGCGCCGCTCTCCCGCCCCGCCCGAGGAACTGCGGGACTGGGCATGCGCGCCGCGCTGCCTAGCCGCGTGAGACCACAGGCCGCTGGCCTCTACCCCTCTATTGGGCTCCAGCATGAAAGGCCTGGCGTGCATAACCTGGTGTCCGGGTCTTCGGGGCGGGGGTAGCGTTCCCGCTTTCCGTGTACTCAATCCTCAGGCCGTGGGCAGAACTCACTTCTTTTGTTCGTGGGCCTGGGTACCTTGCAGGGCCTTTCTCTATTCCCCACCTGCCCAGGACCTGTCCAGCTTGTCCTTACTGACTGGGGAGGGAACTCGGGACCTATGGCCATGCTGGGAGAGAACCTGGCCGGATCTGGGAGGCAAGGGGCGGGGAGGTGTTAGAGAGTTCGTCCTTCCTCACCCTCGCCAGCCTGGCCCTGCCTCGGGGATCCCCGTGGCGTCCTGGGAGTTCCCGTGCCACCTTCCTTCCAGTTGGCAGCTCTGCAGACACCTCCACCCCTGCACATCACGCTCAGGTCCTGGAGACAGGGAGGAGGGCTGGGGGATCCAGAGATCCAGCCTGGCCAGACTTCTGCTCTCTGCTCAGCTAAGCACCCCACACTGAGAAATGAACACGTGGATTCGATTCAAAGCCGCACAATCATCTACATTTTATTTGCACCTCATTTGCAAGTTGTTAATTTGCAACTCTGCTCCTTCCACTCCAGCTTCCTTCTCTCCCATCTCCCCTCAAATTCTCCAGTGGCCAGGGTAAAAAATATCTGTTGGTCTTTGCCAAGGTAGACTCAGCCTTAGCAGACCTGTCCTGTGTTCTCAGGGGAGGCCTTTACCCAAGGCCACAGCAACAGCAGGAATCCTGAGTAAGGCGCCAACTTGACGGCAGGGAAGGCTGGATGTTGTCACAGGGCAGAACTGATTTTATGAGGTGAACAGTAAGGTGAGCAGCGGTGGGAAAGGCCAGTTTATGAATGCAGGAACAGCACCAGGAGCTAAAGCCCAAAACTGCCCCGTGGGCTGTCTCCGGGTCCTCAGAGGCGGGATGGGGTTCCTCCACCCACCACCACTGTCTCCCCAGTGATGTAGCTGGCATCTTCAGAGCACAGGAAAGACACGATGCCAGCACAATCCTCTGGCTCGCCTAACCTGGGGAATAGGGGAAGAAAGGAAGGGAGTAAAAGTTAAATAGTTCTGGCCCCCTCACCTGGGACACAGGGAATGAAGTTTGCTCAATCAAGAATTATCAGATGACTTTTCAGGATCAGTGTACAAGCTTTCTGCCTATCAAATAGGGTTACCATGAGGATATGCTGTTATAATTTAGTAGAAGCATACTGTACTCTGCAAAAACCATTACCCATAATATTCAAATACTATGGAAACATACTGTTTTATAGAGAGCTCAGGACACCAAGATCCAAAGTTATATAGATAAAATGGTGAGCAATTATTTCATACTTCAAAAAAATGGTTTCACATGTGCACACACTAAAGTATCAGGGAGTCTGTGTGACAGTAAATGGTGTGTTTAAAATGTTTCAGTTTGTAGAAGTTCAACTTACAGACGACCTTTCCAGGAATCTATACTTGTTGCTTAAAGTCAGGTTCATTTGGTGAGAATGTGCTAATTCTTATTTTGTCAGCAATTGCATAGTTAGGGGACACTTTAATCTGCCTGCCATAGCATGCTCTATGGGTGGGCAGAGTGAGTAGCTCAAACCTAGAAGGGCTGAATTAATGGTTCTCCATTGTAGCTGTATCTTGGAATCATTTGAGAGGCTTAAAAACAGAAAAGACAAAGAAAACAAAAGCCCAGATGGTCAAGTCCTACCTTGGACCAATTAAAAAAGAATCTCTGGGAGTGGGCGGGGCCTGAGCACCTGCAGTTTAAAAAGCTCCACAGGTGATTCTAATGTGAATCCAGGATTGAGCTACATGGGCTAGATAATTCATGGGAGCTCTAGGATGACAATCCCGTGTCTTATTAATGAGTTATAAACCAGGCCTGTAGCTGATGCCTGACATCAGAATGGCTTTGGGAAAATTTGGGATGTCTGGACCAGTACAGAGTTAGGCATCGCTGGCATTTGTCCTTGAGGGACAAGATGGAGGAAGTAGATAGTGCCCAGAAGCCAGAAGACAGAGGCAGGGAACTGAGAGGAAAGTGAGCCCATCAAAGGTGCTTGAACAGTTCACCCAGCTCACTGGGGAAGAAAGTAACTCCTTAGGCAAGGGGAGTTTGGGGCTTAGTGAAGCTCTTCATTCTTTTCATTTGGATTGTAGATCATCAATCTGAGTTTGTAAACATGTGTCATTATTCAAAGGAACTAAAAATGCATGGTTTTGGTTTTGGTCCCTGGTCTCCATGGATGCTCAGAGGTGGAGGCAATCCCCCAGATGGAGAGAGGACTCAGGGCTTCTCCCAGAGCTCTGCACTGCTGAAACCCCAATGTCTCTGGGTTTACCTTTTGAAAGGGAAGCTGACTTCTTGCTCAGGCCACTGCAGTGATAGTATATATGAATTTGTGGTCTGTGAGGCAGAGGAGAGCCTGCCTGTGTTATCTGTGGGACTGAGACAGCGGGCTGTGGGCTGCTAGAGACCAGACCTTTCCATCTTCATGCCTCTTAGGGCCCTTGATCCCATGACAGTTTTACCTTCTTATCTGCAGGGTTTCTTTCATTCTTTCCTCTTTTTCCTTGTCCATCCAGAGCTGCAGGAAGAAGGGAAATCTCTTTAAGAAGAGGAAAGTGAGGAACAGAAAGGGAAGAAACTGCCCGTCCTTATTGCAAAGAGTAAGTATGGAGAGACTTCCCTCTTTCACTTCCTATTTCTTTTTCTAGCTTCCAGCTCTCCCCACTGCCCTCATGTGTTTCATTTGTTTCAGGTTCTAGTGATGCATTTTGCTGCACCTCTCCAATTCTCATCCATGTAAGGAGAGAGGAAACAGTGTGAGTAGAGTCTGAATACCTCAGTCTCCACCCTATGCCTTAGGAATAGTGTGATTGGAGTCTGGCTTGGATAGGGCAGCTGGTACAGAGAGGCAATATGGAAAAGCCAAGGGAAGGAGAACGGAGTGGTTGAGAGTTCAGGAATCAGGTACTGGGCTTCCCCGTCCAAGAAGATGGATGACTTTCAAGGGGTTCCAGTGGGATGCAGAGCTCCCCTTCCTCACCATCCTGCTGAAGCTGGTCTTGATAAGTCCAGGTGCTAGGCAGTTCACCCTAATGTTCCTTGGGGCCAGCTCTATGGCTAGGGTCTTGGTGAGGCCCAGCAAAGCTGTTTTACTGACATTGTAAGGACTGAGGCCCTGGAGAGAGAAAACAATGGGTTAGACTCATAATTTCCAGGTCATTCTTGGTTCTAATAACTAGACATAAAGGGCAGTGCTCAATAGGGATCTCCTGTAAGGGAGGGGCATAGTTAGGAAACTGTCTTGTGGCTAAACCTCCCCTAGGTTATGGTTTGTGGAGGCAAGGCATCTATTTTGTGGGCAGGGACTTGGTGGTGTGATTCTAAAAGGGGACACAAACTTCTTTGGATAACAGGTAGGGTGGAGAGACGTACAGGATGGGATGGAAGGGGCAGTCAAAAGGGTTCTTACAGGAAGTGGACTGAAGGCTGCTATGGAGGCCACGATCACCACTGAGCCGCCTCTGGAAAAAGAAGAGAGCTGACGGTCTTCCCATTATGGACCACTGCCCTCAGCCCGTGTGGGGTCCCATCTCACCCAGGCTCTCCCTCACTCTCTGTACCCTCGTTTCTCCATTTCTGGCACCACTGCCTTTGTCATCAGGGCTGGGGCCTTCACATTAATGTCCAGAGTCTGAAGCCAAGAGAAGAAGGGGAAACAGCATGAGTGAAGAGCACTGGAGGAGGCATGGCAATGAGGAGTTAGAGTGGGTTCCTAGGATGTTTGTCAGAGCTGACGAAGATCTTAGGATGATTCACCTGCATCTTGCACATGAAGAAACTGAGGTTCAGGGAGAAGTAGCTCTCACCAGCTTCTCAGCTAGATAATGATACATTAGGTTCAGGTGAGAAAAAATGGAGCCTGGTTCATCTTGTTTCGTCACCAGCCAAGTATGATTTGGCCCAGAAGGGGCCTAAATCCTCAGGGCTCCCTTGGATTTGAGCTGCGTTTTCTGTGTTTCTTCAAAGTAGGGAGAGCCTGCAATTGTCAGCCTCCTGGACCTGTTTTAAAGTGCGCCATGCTTCTTAGGGAAAATGTGGCCTGACCTTGGATACCTGGGGTTGTTCTAGCACTTCTCTGACTTCTGTGCTTAGGGAGTGAGATGCTCTTGACCCTCTAGGATGGACTGCCTGGCTAGACCTGATTAGAAAGTGGGATCATGAGGAGGCACCTTCTGGGGAAGCTGGGAGACAAGGTACAATCAGAATCCCCACATCCATAATCTAAAACAAATGTATGACCCCTGTTTACATTGTTCTAGACAACTGCTTATATTAAAATATTTCAATCTTACAGAAAAATTGGAAACAGAAGTACAACGAGTATCTAGATATCTTTCACTTCGATTCACCAATTGTTCACATTTTGTCCCCTTTGTCCTCTCTGTAGATCTGTACAGTTTTTTAAATGAACCACTGAAACTCAGTTGCAAGTTTTCTGAAAGATTTTATATAATAAAATGAAAAATTACTAAGAACACAAATAAAAAAATAAAAATGTAAATTAAAAAAAAGAAACTCAGGGCTGATTGTGGTGGCTCATGCCTGTAATTCCTGCACTTCGGGAGGCCAAGGTGGGTGGACCACTTTGAGGTCAGGAGTTTGAGACCAGCCTGGGCAACATGGCAAACCTCGTCTGTACTAAAAATACAAAAATTAGCCGATGTGGTGGCATGTGCCTGTAGTCCCAGCTACTCAGGAGGATGAGACAGCTGAATAGCTGGAACCCAGGAGGTGGAGGTTGCAGTGAGCTGAGATAGCACCACTGCACTCCAGCCTGGGGAATAGTGTGAGGCTGCATCAGAAAAATAAATAAATAAAATAAGTAAACTCAGTTGCAGATATTACAATGCTCTATCCCTAAATACTTATCATACATTTCCAGAGAGTAACGATGTTCTTTTACACAACCATAATCTGTTATCACAACCAAGAGTCTGACAATGATGATAATGCTATCTAATATATAGGCCTGATTTGTCCCCCAAATGTGTGTTGTGTTTTTTAAAGTCCAGAGCTCAATCAAGGATCAGCCATTATGTTTGCATTTGATGTACTGTGATAGTTTAAAAGATATATAAAAGAAAAGTTATAGACACATCTCATTTTATTATGCTTTGCAGATATTGTGTGTTTTTTTTTTTACAAATTGAAGTTTCCTGGCAACCCTGCGCTAATTAGAGCCATTTTTCCAATGGCATGTGCTGACTTTGTCTCTGGGTCACATTTCAGTAATTCTTGGAATATTTCAGACTTTTTCATTATTATTATATCTGTTACGGTGATCTGTGATCAGTGATCTTTCATGTTTTTATTATAATTGTTTTGGGGTACCACAAACCACACCCAGAAAAGGAGGTGAACTTAACTGATAAATGTTGTAGGTTCTGACTGCTCTGCCCTTCTCCTATCTCTCTCCCTCTCTGTAGGCCTCCATATTCCCTGAGACACATTTATATTGAAATTAGACCAGTTAATAATCCTACAATGGCCTCTAAGTGTTCAAGTGAAAGGTAGAGTCACACATCTTGCACTTTAAATCAAAAGGTAGAAATAATTGAGCTTAGTGAGGAAGGCATGTTGAAAGCTGAGGCAGGCTGAAAGCTAGGCCATGTGCACCAGTTAG